TACCGAGTCCAGTCCATGTCGACCTCCCAATTGAGTCTCAGATGCACTGAGCCTGCCCACATGCGCATTCATATCTCCGGCAACCACCACAATGTCTGAGCTTTTTGCTCGCCGCAGCAGAGCATTCGTCAATCTTTGCTTTGACGGCGTCACAGCTACAATTAGTTGGGGCATAGGCAGACACGACAAACAGACATCTATCAACTTGCCGCTTGTGATTTCACAGACCCGCAGGCAGCAGCCTCTGGATCACCAGAGATGCGTAACCGGAAGCGAGTGGAGACTGACTGACAAAAATTGGACCTGAACGATAACTCACTTTCGATGCGTAACCGGAAGCGAGTGGAGACTGACTGACATAAAAATTGGACCTGAACGATAAATACCTCACTTTCGAGTGTATATTTATACATTGTCGCTAAATGGCACTTTAGGTATCACTGATTTGTGTCAAAAAGCTCACCACATGCAGGTGGAGACCGTGTAAGTCACCGGGGATTATACTTTTAAAAAACGTTACACCTTAGGCAAAAGCGGAGTGGGACTGGAACAAACACTCAAAAACGCTGTTGCAGTGCATATATGAACCAAATTATGGTTCTATTTGTTGTTGAAATCCTACGCAGCCTTTCACGAACTCCTCATAGGTCACAAAAATGAAAAATCGAAGTTGTGGTAATAGTGATATTCGGGAAACGCTACCACTTCAAGTGTTACTAGTGGAATCACACAAGCGTCACGCGCGCTGTTTGCCACGGAAACGATATATGTGGATTCACGTCGAAAAGGAACACGGTGACAATGAGGAAATACAGACTTACATCTATCACGATCTTGCTGTCTTCTCGTAACTGTATCTGACCCGACTGGGAGAGCTGCATTATTAAATCTTGTAATTTCTGTTGGGTAAGGGAGGATCCCTGCATGCCGTCCGAAAGTTGAATCGTGACGTGAGTGGCATTTCTGTCGTCGTTCGTCTCTGAAGGACCGAGAGCACCAGAATCAACGTTCACTGGTAGGATAGCGGTGTTGGCTACTGAACTACCTGCATTATCATGCGCAGTACTGGTCGAACCTGTAGACGCAATCGCCCGAGCCTCTGCCATTGCACTCGTGGGCAGGATTCCACTGTAAAAACACGAATACAACCGATGATGACTTAATCTCACTAAACGATAATTTGGGTGGAGCTACATGTGTGAAAAACCATACTTGGCTGCAAGAGCGAATTACAGGTGAACGACCTTCCCAAAGTGACCTTCGAGGGGTCGGCGAAGGTCTTTATGAAGGACATTCATGAGGTGGGAGAAATGGGCTCAAAAAGAGAAAGATATGGTGACCGATTGTGCCAAAAATAGCAAACAGTCTAATGAGGACCAGAAACGGCCGTCAACTAGCCTAGCAGGTACTTACGATACAAGATGGCGGCCTGGTGATTAGTCGCTTTAAATTTTGCGGTCGGTCTGAATCGGTTCAGTTCATCTCAGTTTGGAAGAGTTTAGTTCGGTTGCGTGCAGCACTGGCTGCAGAAACCTAACGTCCGTTCTAGCTGCCTGTTTCCCTAGAAACCTGACGTCCGTTCTAGCTGCCTGTTTCCCTAGCGTACTCATATTCCTCTAATTTAATGTGCATCTTCCGCCTGTCTTGCTCTGTGATATTTTAACCTGAGAATTCCTGAGAACTTTTAGAAGAGATTTTCAAATATCCCAAAGTTTGTGCGGGTCTACTTTTCTCGTCATATCAATAACACGCGTTTTATGAATAAAACTGACTGCTTCTACCGTCTTGATGTTTTTCACATCACTCAAATTGAAACTTTTGATTGATTACTCGCAGTACGTTGACAAGTTAGCAATGTTTCGTCGCAGCACAGAGGCCCAGAATATTTTCCATAGTCAGTCTTGTCTGTAAACAGTAGAATACTAGAATGGTAGTATTAGTATTATGATAGAATGGTACACAATTTGTAATATTGTCCCGAAATTACTTGATGTATGAGACATACCTGTCGTTCTATAACAAGGTTTTCTCGACCACTGATGACTTCAGCATTCCAAAGATTCAGCGATATGTGCCCGCAAGCGAGGCTGGGTTCACGTCAGATGTCAGAACACGCTGCAGGGAACATTGACCGACTGGACAGGCATAGGGTTGTTAAGGAAGTCAAAAACTCACTTTTCAGAAACTATATGAATAATAAACGGTAAACAGAGCTTTTGAGACCTGGCATCAGTTCTCCGCAAATCTATCCATCAGAGAGATCAAAGCTAGTTCTTCGTCAATACCGATTTCGTGAACTTAATTATATTCGTTAAATCTTCTACGTTAGAAGGTTGTGCATTACAGCGGCAGACGAATTTAAGCGCAGAAGTGCCATATGTTCATAATCGTCGCCTGAGTATCTCACGTCCATGTCCGTGGTGAGCCGGATGAGGTCATGGTTGCGCCTGAGATATATCCTTAGTTCACCGTTTTTTTTTCGAATGCACGAACCCGTTTGGCGTAGATTAATGCCCGCCTTGTCCCACCCTATTTCTTGGGCAGCTCTGGTGCATGTATGCCGAGGCAACGCCGAAATGCGCGCGTTCATCTCAGTCCCGTGAATACCGCACTGAATCTCAGCCAAAAGTCACCTACGCTTACGTCCCCGGCTCATGTCTTGGTATGTGGTACAACCTTGGTTCACACTACCAATCCATATATATATAGAACTAAAAAGCAAAAAATTAGCTTAGCTTGCGGTCAAAGCCTCTTCTGGAATCGCTAATCCGGTAAACGTTACAAATTCACTAGCTCTCTTAATCCTCCTCAGCCCGAGGTAATAAAGCCTCCTACCTGGTTGGATATCACAAATATCGCAATCGCCGTTCGGTACCATGCACATTTCTTCGGTATACTGCGGTCTTGATGGTAAGACGCTCAGTGCTCTAGGTTTATGAACGGCCCACACAAAATACTTCTATCCAAGGCCAAAATCTTAAAAGGGATTCCGCCCAGGTGCCCCACAGGTTGCTCATAAATTGTCTGTAAAAAACCACTTAACATTCAATGAAGATATGTTTCACCCGTTGCACGCCAGTTTTTGCGGGGCGGGAATAAACATCCTGCCTCTGCAACCCCGAAATCTCTAATAAAAAGGAACCCAGGCAAATTCACTCAACATTCTACTGACAACTCCAAGCAAAAAGACTGTCAGCACAGCCATTGTACTCTCCAGGCTTGTTAGGCTGACACGCAAGTGGTTTGTGCCTAACGTGGGCAACTCCTCAGTCACCCCCTATGTGCGACTTTGCCCAAAGTGCGCCGTACAAGAATGGGGCCCCTGAGTGCCCAAATTGACGCAAGACACGGTAGTTAAACTGGTACTCCTCGTCAACTTTAGGAACAGGCTGGTTGGCTCCTGATAAACTTTGATTGCTGGGGCATTGAAAGGTACCTTTCCCAATGCCACATGCTTGCGCAAGTAAAGACGTAAAACAAATCTTCGAGCTTGCTAAATCTCAAAATGTATGAGGATGAAGGCGCAGGAAGTAAACATCAGATAATATGAAGGGTGGTCTCAAGTAGAGCATAAGGTTGATGGAAGCCCGAGGCCTTTGCCTACCTGATAAGCTCCAAGAAGGGCAAAACCGGTCATGGAATATCGAAGAATTTTCTCCAAGTTTATGAGTAATGCATTACGAATAAATATGAAATGTCACTTGGTCGTTTCGTGCCTGGAAAATAGGTGTTCTCGATATGGTGCGGTCATGACAAAGTGAAGAATACGCTAATTATGTAAAATATATTGCACCCAAGACTTTGAGCAACCTGCATTTAATTTTTTTCAATTAGGCCCTCAGGACCATTCATGGCTGCTATATTTAGTTCTTTGCATTCATGTGACGCATACCTTCCCAAATAAATGAGTAAAAATGAGGCCATGGTTCGAAGGACGAGAATGATTTTATTCAATTTCACATATTCAAAGTAAGCATTAGGTGTAATGTGGCGTGTACATTAATTTAGGGAGCATCAAACTGGGCGGTGGAGCCTAACATACTCAGTGGCCTACTATAGCAGTGAAATGGGGGAGAACAGAGAACATGATAGAACAAAGTTTGATTTGAGCGCAACTAGTACGAAAGATCCGAGGAAGTCATATATCAGGTAAAGTGGTGCGAGAATCATAAGAATGGAAGGGTGGTAATATGTTTACATATCGGTCGCTCAGGTGAGCTTGTTGGTTTTTGATCAGGTGGTTGTTGATCCGTTCGTTGAGCTCAGCGGTTGGTCAGCAAATGTTTCGTAACCATACGAGGATTACTCATCAGTGGATACTGATGAACATAGTTTGATTCGAAAAACGGATATATACCTCACGTCTTCTCAGTTGCAATGGCGTCGGGTCTAGCCTAAGGCAGCGCCACCGGCAATGTAGAAGATAGTCAAAAACTGGCTTGGGAGCACCGAAATAGCCAGCCGGCGTTCATTCAGTGGGAACGTTTGTTGGAATTCACACCAGGAGAAAAACAGGGACTTTCCTAAAGGGGGCACGTGAACAGTTTTTAATTCGTCGGCGGAAGGCAAGCTGCGCTGGACACGTCGCCGATATTAATGATGAAGAAAATAGAAAATATCGCACGCGTCCGAATGACCCCGCTAGAGATCTGCAGCAGAGATGGCTTTTCGATACCAGTTTGTGTAGCTTGGGCTGCCCGATGGGCAGATTTAAGTTGAACCGTTGATACAGGGATCCACTGATGCCAAATTAACGATGGCTCTGTACCACTTTTGCATTACGGACCTAGTCCAAAGCGTTGTAGATTTCCCGGCAGACCACTAAGTAGGTCGCCCCTTATCGCAGCTTTATGTTGAGTGCAGCCTGGTTGACGAGCTTTGGTAAGATGCTACAGGGTTCATATTAGAATGGAAATATGGTGAATTCTCCTGCGGCTGAACACCATCCAGCCGAAACAAGATTCACAATGTCAAGTGGTGGTGAATGATTTCGGAATTGGGGAATGGATTGGAGGAATCTGAAAAACGTTTTGATATTCAAGTCTCGAGATGGAAGGTAACCGTCATTACGGAATGGCAAATTTGTTATGGGTTGGAAGGGGACAGAAGCATTCGCTTGTATAATGGTGACTTTGCTGATAGGTTGATTATGATGCTGGCCCTGATTAGTAGTTGGATTCGCGATGGAGCCTGTGGATTAAAACTTTTCAGACGACAAGTGGAACAGGTTGCGGCTGATAAAGTGGGGATTTGAACACCTGACTACAGTGATGGAGCCAGTGAAACTCAATTTAAATTCGATTGATCTTTTGGGTTATAAAACCCACGACATAGGCGGATGAAACATTTTGTGTAGGAGGCATAATCGTAAATGTGACACTCTTCACATGGATACGCGTTACGAAGAATAACAAGTGCGGGGCTTGTTAGTGGTTTGTAGCAATCAGAAATGATAGTGCTGTTGGTTTTCTCTTTCAAAATACGTGAAGAAAGCTGTTGAAAGTTGTTTGAAACTTTACCGTTGAAAAAACAGGGAGAACTTTTCTTGATTGGAACAGGTTTGACAGTCAAGCAGAGAACAAGCAGGCCATGTTACATATAGTTGATACACTGTGCTTCTGTGACAAAAAAGATCACCCTGATCCAAGAATGTCAGCAAGGATGCGGGAACCTTTTTTTCGGGTGAGTAGAGATGGCATCGGAGGGGCATTCAGTCACACTGGAACAAACAACGCCAAAATTACTTCCTGCAAAATGCAGGAAGACTGCAGCTCTAACCAGAAGATCCTTTTTAAGACTGTCAGATGTGCGGTACAAGGACAGCGAGCCTGACTTCAAACAATCTGGGACCAACATTCTGCATTAGGCGCGTTGAGCAGCGAAGGGTACCCGGCGTGGTTTTCGGTGAGCTTCTATTACATGGCTTGAGAGTCATAGTCTGTAGCGGTCACCCTTTCGTTCTTTTAACTAGCTTCTGAAGTTTGTTTAGCGTATCCACTCCTTTATGTTCCACAAAAATGCAGATCACGTGACAATACCATGTTCCGCTTGCATCCTTGACCGACAACTTGTACACTGCAATTTGCCATTCACTTTGTTTACACTGCTGCTACCTGCATCACGTGACATGCTTACGACCTTCACCCAAATCAAATCAAATTGTTTCCGTTAGTACCACTGTAAAACAATAATTTTCACCCCTCTTTACACAAAACACACAATAAATATGCACAGACCCAGGCACAAGATACACACAGAAGCGCGCAAGGAGCAGGGGAGCAACCGAATTACATAGGTTTAGGAGATATAAGAAACACAACAGTTAAGCTGCAGCAGGCACGAGTCACGTCCGGACAATTCACTCACGAGCTCCTCTGCTACACGTAAACGAAAATTAGCCTTTTGACTTTTCTCATTGTTGTATTGTATTTGTAATATACAACCTCAGACTGTGACCCAGTATCCAAAGCTGGAAAATGTTTTGTTAGTGCATACTTTTCAACCCTTCAACTCTAACAAGTTGTTTAACAAAAGCTGAAGGAAATGAGGGTGTTGAATTTATATATCAATGGCTGTGTGTAGCCCTCGTGAAGGTGGTAAGAAATTTTGCGTAAAGCTGGTTTTTCACGTGTTTTCTTCGGCATGGAAGTTGGAACAAATCTAAAGACTGTGTAAACAGTAATTGCGTTTTTTGTCCACGCAGCTGCAGTTCTTAAACTGTATCGGAGAGATTTTCCATGAATACAGAATGGGTCCCGTCCCTCAACACCAAAGAATTCGTATTTCTGACGGCAAGTTTTTATCTTCACCGTTATTCTAATCTCATGATAGTGCTGTTGTGTAACGCGTGGCTTTAGGGGAGGTGCTTTCAATTTCTGGCACAAATTTAACGGAATGATACGGTCTTACAGAGGATGGATCGCGTCTGTGATGTGGTGAACTACGGGCAAGCCATCAGACCAGGCATGGCGGTCGCAGTACCATCATCGTGACGATGTACTTGGATTCGTAGACATCATAGGTAAGTCTCTTTGGATTGTCATTGTAGTCACTAGTTGTCAAGGCTACAGTTGAATACCAGAATCCGTCAAGGGTGCTAATGGGTCCACCGATGGCGCACGGTGGTTCCTTGCTGCCATTCAAACGAGGCAATGTCTACATTGAGCCCTAAACTTGGGAAAGTGTCAAAAAGATATGCGGTCAAAATAGCAGGCAGGTAAGTTTTCACAGTTTCTTACTACTGGAGTGGACTGACATGGCCTGATTTCAGATGCAGTAATTGATACTCAGGTGCAGTAGTAGGTTTGTCGTCGATGTGATCGGGGGTGAGCATATGTGATTATATGGTTTTGTGCTGGCTTCATTGTGCGCAACTAAGGTAGCTCGGAACTTGCGGAGGTATTAGAGCAAAGAAAAATCACGTCTGGTGGTTTTGCTTGTTTGTACAATGAAGCGATCTCAGAATGGCACCGTTAAAGTCTAAAGAAAAGCGTGGGGCTCTGCAAAACGATTACCCCTGGGGCGCCATGCCACACGTAATACGTGAGTCTCTGTGAACACTTTTGCTCTGTTTTCAATGAATTTTTCAATTCAAAGGAGGATTGCACGGGATATATGCCACAATTAGGGTAAAGCTCGGTAGGTTGCATAGACGTCCGACGAAATTTTCTTCCATTTTGGGTTTCTCTTTCCCACGTTGCAGAAGGCGGGTTAGGGGATTTACCTTACGGCAGAATTATCTTTGGGGAAAAACATGCAATTAAGGCGAGAGTTGTCAACCGTGCACTCTCGCATCGTCGTGGAGAGGAGATGGAGAGGGGCGTACATGGTACGAAAAGATGTGAATGTGTTCAAAAGCCTCCGTAATTAGGCGGTGTCCGTTGCTGGTGTTCACGCTCTCGATTCCTATTTAGTGTCGTGATCAATGATATAAAGGGTAACGCTGCAATGTCTTCTGAACCCTGGTATTCAAATATCTTCTGACAGAGGCCTTGTTAATCTGTAATATTCAGACGTAGTTCTCATCTTCGAAGTGGGGGTTGCAGGTGCTTTTGGATGAAATGACTAAGGCCATCCCGTCCACTAGTAGGCAATTTATACTCAGTGTGAGGTTCTGAAAATTGAGTCCTGAATACGCCACTTACAGTCCAAGGAGAATGATACGAATTTGTGATGCCTTCAATGTACATTCGAAGTTGTATTAGTTCCGACTGTAGTGAAACAGATGAGGTTGATTCACAAATCGGCAAAGCTGGGGTGGCGTCCTGTAATCTGAGACAAATCTGGTGTCAACGCGGTATACCCCGGAGTATCAAGGAACATGTCAGGCTGCAGCTTTTCGTGTGGCTGTTAGACCTTGCCTGTTTGACCAGCGAAACTAAGATATCTTCACGTGTTTGACAGCTGGTTTCTGAGAGCCATGGCTTATGCGGATCGGCGTCGGCGAATCCGTAACGAGACGGTTAGAAAACGATCTTTTGAGTGTTCACCGGGTACTTCTATTTAAGAATGTGTCCAACACCGAAATGAGCACTGGTTAAACCTAAGGGACAATCAGGTGGGGCATATGTGGATGGGCATGCAAGGCACGCTGAGAGGATAAATCCTAGGAAGTCAGGTTCATTCGACCGCTTAGAGGGCGAAAGCGGGAGTAGTGGCGTTGTTTAGGTGTGTCATCCAAAAGTGGGTTGAAGGGTATGCACTCCTGGGCAAAGTGGTAGGGCGACCTTGCAATCTACAGCTAGATCATCATTATCGCCTAAGACTATTGGATCTCATCAGGTCTGCCTCTCTTAGTAACCTAACTCTTCGGATATTGCAGGCGTGATTTTGGAAGTGATCGGTTGCAATATTTTTGCATAAACGATGAGTTGGATGGGGTTCAAACCTAAATGAATGAAGTGAAAAAGGTCCCCAGAATGGCTTAAAACAACAAGCAGCTTCCGATACATGTCTGCGATGTGTAAGATTGTTTATGTTTAAGCGGATGCTGAAAATAAAAAACGCGAGCACTTAGCTGACCCGTTTCCCAGAAAGGGACTGCTACTGCTACATGGTATTGGTGTCGAAAAGTAAAAGTGGTTTCGGTTGGGATTTGATGCCCTAAACGATCCGACTTGAAGCCAAGTACCCATAAACCCGCTAGGTCTTCGCTACGGCCGCATCAATTGGCGCACGTTTGAGGACGCTTGCCGTCCTTAGTTCCTTGGGATGGAGTCCATACCACTTAGTTTCACGGTTGAATAGTATACGTCCCTCTTTGGCTTTAACATCTCTGCGTCCAGTAATGTATATAGTCGCCGAACCTTGCTATCAAAGAATCAACGTTTTATGGTTACCTCCTTATTGCTAATGGGACCAGTTGAGCAACCAGTGATTTTACGTTTATTACGGGGGGACTCCGGCCTAAGCGAATACAACGATCGGGAATTATAAACAACGGAATTTATTAGGCACTTGGTGTGTTAACCACTACAGTTCTGTTCGGTTATGTTTGTATATATTGGTGCATACCAGTCGAAACTGGTCACACATTTCCGTTAAGATATTCTCTACACTTAGAGCGGGTTTCTGAAACTGAGAACTGGACTAAATGCATATTATGTTTGTAATAATTCAACCAACAAATAGAAGCGTGATTTACCAAGGGTGGTTGTGTATTTTTCACATATGGACTTAGCAGACAGACAAGACGTGAGGATATAAAGGACCGCCGTTGGTCGTTAAATTAGCCTGTTATATATAGTTGCGAACTTATGACCAGCTGAGAGAACGGGTATGGACCCAGCAGTAATCGTAAGTAACCAAGATGGGCGACACCAAATACACTTGTGAGTATAATAAAATGCTCATTCTTATCTGGTGAGTGCCAATCCGTTAGGCACGATTATAATGTAAAATTACGAATAAAAGCATGACTGGCAGCATTTATGAGTACGGGGAATTGCTCGTAAAAGTGACAGTCTCAATAACAGCGTGCATTATCCTATCACATCTAAGCCGACATGGACAGGGAAGCACAGTTATTACTGCCTTTTTATTTCTGGAAACATATCAAACTGATGCAAGAGCAGATCGTTCGAATTTGAAAGTGGTGGCAAAACCAAAACGATGAGGGACAAAACAAGAGGTATTCTGCCCGGCACATGACAAGAAAAATTCAACTTGCTGAAAATGGGGGACTGGATAAGCGGATCTGATGAAGCAGTAGAGTTGACGTAATCCTGCGGGTCAGTTTGAACTAAAGCCCAAAACCACAATGGAATTCTCGTGGTCTTGAACAGTGGAGCTTATGCTCAGGGTAACAAAAGTGGGGATGATGAAGTGCAGGGTTCAGCAATGTAGATAAGTGGTGGCAGGAGTTTCATAGTCTAGTGTGCAGTGAAACCGTAGAGGCACACAAGTTTTGTTGTTGTAGTGGAGTGGGTATACGATTCCCTTAGAATGAACACAAAACCCGGAATGCCAACCATACAGAAAATTGTTGAACTTATGAAGATCACAGACTGAAAGTTCACCAAAATGGTCAAATCTGAACGAAAGGTTGAGCAGCTTAGGACGAACGCCACTCGTAAGTCGCTGGGGCCGTGTGAAGCGCTTGTTCGTACTTGCAGTCATTGGAACGAATATGCGAGAGGCTACGGTCAAGAGTAAGAGGACAGTTTCGGGTGTTCTATGAAACTGGGTATGGCAGCGCCGTGCCATCAGTGACCTGACGAATTGCTGCCTTTGGGCAGCCTTATGAAGAATTTCATCTTTGATGTCAATTAGCTGTGATGTGCAATCCTCTGCTCAGCCGGATTTTTTCAGTTTGGTCAAGAAATTTAGCAGGAGTAGAAAGGAGCTAATGTAAGATCAGAGGTGTTTTCTTCTGGTCTGGTTGGGGATCCATGTGGATGCAGATGGCAGACCAGATGGAGTGGATAACAGCCAAACGGCGTCGAAACAAGGCACTGCTGAGGGTCGAAGCTCTAGAAAACGGGGGAACAGGATGATATCGGTGAGGTATGGTGAGCTTGAGATGGCATCAGCTGGGATGTTGTACACTGAGAGAAATACTTCACAATTGCCACCACTGGGATGAGGACAACAAGTGGTCACATCAGACAGGATGAGGATAGACCTGCAGTTAGTGGACCAGCCAATAGGGTTTGATTTTGCTAATATATGATATTACAGTACAAGCGCAAACCGGTTTAAGCAAGCACAGAGATGGTGTGGTTAAGGAAGTCAAACGTATAAGGACAGATTAAAGTGGACATTCGAGATGGTGCATTAGTTTATCTGGAATTAATTACGTGCTTTGGACAGTGCCATAATCTGGTGGAGAAGGTGAATGTAAGAGAAATGGCCACCAATTACCGAAGCACTGTTGTCGGCTTGAATTGCTAAGTGGTGCATGGTGGGAAAAACCTTTGTGTAGTCTTGTATGCTGGCAGCGGGGGTCAGGAATCTCACATATATATATATATCATGTGTTCACTCCCTAGAGCAGTACAACTTTCAAACTGAAGTAAGCTGTAGATTTTGAGAAGGAGAATGACATTAAGTCAGTGAAATTCGAACACAACCATGACAACTCGTGGCGTTTTTCGGAGTAGGCGACCTATGGCACGTAGCTCAATTTTTATGTAAAAAATTTTTGTCTGACACATTGTTTTGGGGAAACGAGCATCTGGCTTTGAAAGGACATCCCAAGTGGAGAACGGCTAAAGTGCTTTAGGTGCCAATATTATGTTAAGCTGGATTGTTATAAAAAACGAAAAATATTCAAAAACAGTTTCAAGTATTTGATCCAAGAGTGCTTTGCGCACTTCGCATGGGATCAGCAGCCTCTTCACAACCGTCCATACCGCCTTCAATATAAGGGCGGTAGAAAATCCATGTGTTTTAGGACATCTCACAATACACCTAACCACGTATTCAAGATAGAATTTCCTCACTTGAACCTTTCAGATGCATTCATCTTTGTTATTGTCAAGGAAGTCGGGTTACCAACCACGGAACCGAATCTCGAACTCGCCGGCCGCAGAGCACAAGCCATGGTATGTGTGTATGTACTACAGTCGGCGAACTCCTGTGTTGAGCGTCTAGGCCTTTTTGGACCAATCTGAGGTTCGGGCTTGTCGTGTGCATCAGTGGACTCTCGAATCGACCTGAAGAACATGCGGTATATGGTTGTTAACCGATGCAAACACCTGTGTCTCCTACTGAGTCCGCTCCATGGCGACATACAATTCGTCCAACTTGTGGGACTACTCACCGGAAGAACTCCGGAGGCGAAACCATGTCGGAAACAGACATGGAAACAGACAACTACGCAACAGAGGTCCATTTGTAGCTTTGTGCTTAAGCCCCTCGTACAGGTATTAAATCCGCTAACCTTTCTGGGAACACACCTCTCACCTTTACACCATCGGACGCAACAGAGATGATGTAAGCGTTCGTTCACAAATTGCATCACTCTTTTCAACAAAATTCACAACATCAAATGGTCATCTTAGTTTGAACGGCCACCCGTGATTGCACTTAGAGGGACATGTTGCACACCAGATGTCCCTGACGCGGAGATCTCGATAGAGGGCTACTCCACTTTTCGAGCCGACTCGAAGCGCGGGAGGGTTTTTGGAACTGTTTTATGCTTACACGCGGCCCTGCCCATCCTGATTGTCCTCTTACATACCACCCCCGCACCTTTTGTGAAACACTGTGGGTTCAATTCCCATTCCCGTTGGACCCATGCTGTCCTCGATGTGGTCTACCACTGCCCTCCGAGTCCACCAGAAGTTAATCAG